CGGGGGGGCCCAGCTGGGGGGAACTGGGGCAAGGCAGAGTACCAACGCGGGGGGGGTGCGTCAGCCACGGGGCCTCACCAGCAGACCTGTGAAGAGGGATCCTCTGTCCTGATACAAAACTGGTAATTTTAGACTTTTTTTTTTTCCTTCCACTGGAATATAAAGACATTTTTTTCAGGCCAGCTGTACTAACTTTAACTATTTTTTTTTTTTTAAATGCCCCGCTGGGCTGTGGCCAGGCAGGAGATGGGAAGGGAAAGCTGTTTCCTTTACACAAGTGGTTTTTTTCCCTGAGCGGGGTGTAATCCCCAGCGCTGCACCAACACACTGCGGGGGTGCCCCTCGGCCCGAGAGAGGGGAGCACAGGGCAGGGGGTGGCCGTACCAGACCCCTTTCCCACCCCAAACTGCTTACAAGCAACAAGCTTGTGCTTTGGAGGAGGGAGGAGAGCAACAGGGAGCACGCAGAGACAGGAGAGCCGTGGACTCAGCGGCTCGCAGACGGGGCTGAGGTGAAATGATGGATTCCATGAAGGTTTTCTGGCAGGAGCAGTGACCAGGGAAGGATTTCCCAGGAAAAGGAACCGTCATTCACAGCAGGGCACAAGGCACGCTCTGCTGCGCCCGCTGCCGCTAACCTGTGGTTTTTGGGGCAGCTAAAGCCCTCAGGAGTACGTCTTGGGCCAAGTTCCATCAAGAATATTCTTAGATTGTTCGGTATTTTTTTCCTTCCCCCACCATGCAAGGCTTGCAGTCCACGTGCATCCTTCCAACATCTGTAGCAAAGCTGAAAGTGAAGGACAGTCCCAGCAGTTTGAATTTACTCACTTGATTGTGTTGAAAAATTAAGTCAAAAATTTTTAACAAATTCCTTTTTCTAAGGAAAAGCAATTCTGACGGTGAGACCAACCCATCCAGAGCCCTGTGCCCGAGGAGAACCAGTCAGCTAGAACATTTCCCACCAGCTCCTGTGGGTCTCTCGAGAGGCCTCAGGTCTCAAGGGGCAGTGGCAGCACCTTATTGCCATCCCAGTGTTTCTGACGGGGGCTGCAGCACCAGGCAACGCTGGAATTCTCCTTATTCCCAAGAAACTGTCCCCGTCACAGCACGCTTGGTCCCAGACACTGGCAGGTGTCACCATTCCCCAGCCCCTACCTGCCATGCTCTGAACACCCCCATTTATTTACCAGCACAGGCTCTCCTTTCCCTTCGGGTCGCAGATCAGATCGGGGGCTCAAGGCTTCCACAGCCAATTGCTGTTAGAGTGCGGTGTGTTGGTTTTTTTTTTTTTGTGCCCTCGCTGAGAACATTGTGAAGATGGAAACACCAAAATATCTTCGCGCTTCATCTGCACGCTCCACCACGGGTTTCTTTGGGATCCTGGTACTTCCCTCAGTGCTGGAACAGGGGGCAGAGGGAAATGGGCGCTGCCCAGCCCGAGCTGGGAAAGCCACTGCAGGCCCCCCAGCACAGGGGGTGTCAGTTAGAAATAGCGCTGCCGTGGGGGATCCCAGCCTGTTTTTACTATAAAAGTGTTTCCAGGCTGGAGGGTGAATGTTTAAAGAACGCCACACGGCGATCTCAAATGATTTCTGTGATTTAGAGCTTAACGAACGCTTAAGGACACTTCAGCCTTGGGAGAAACACGAGATCAAGTTGTAAAAACAACGCAGCACCAACCTAAGCTTTGGCTGACGCTCCCTGGGGCGGCTGGTGGTCACCGGGCTGAGGGTGAAGCAGCAGAGCTGGGCCCCGACGCCAAACCCGCTCCCGGTTTCAAAACCTCCCACTTTGTCCCAGTCTCATCCAGCCCGAGGGATTCCCAGGGTGGGCGAAGGAGGGGGAGCTCCCAGCCGTCACCCGCTGAAGTATCGAAGCCATGGCTTGTACAGCAGCTTTCTCCTTGACAAATCCTGGGGGTCAGGGGGCACTGCGGGGGCTACCAGCGGTCAGGCCCATCACCCCGCGCCCAGGCAGCTCCACCTGCCCCCCCCCGAGGAGCGAAACCAACTCCCCACGCGTCCTCCTCAGCACATCCCTTCCTTTACAGCAACGCAACAGATCTGCTGCTTCTATTTCAGTAGCCAAACCCCTTTATTTCAGAGCCTGCCACTACGCGAAGACCACCCGCCCTAAAGTTGGCTCGAGACATCTTGTTTTGCCCCCTGAAGACCAAACCCCGCGGTCGCTGGCTGGCGGGAGCTGCAGCAGATGGTGGCTCTCGCCGCTCAGCGGCGGCAGATGGCCCAGCTCGCTGCGGGGGGAACTTCTGCTCCTCGGCCCCGCCAGGCGAGCGGCGCCTGCACAGACTCTGATGTTTGAGGGAGATGGAGGCGATTGTGCCGCTTCTCCAGTTTTTAATCACTGCCCTGGACTATCTAAATACTCGTATCTAGGGGGAAAAAAAGCTACTTTAAATTCCATAGCAACTAGTTTTTCTCTGACGGCAAACCCATGAAATAGTTACTGCAGATCAGAAAGACACGCAGAGGTAACCAAGAAACAGAAAAAGATATTTATCTTTTCCCTCAGAAAACCCCTATACTCGCTTTTCCTATTTCTAGAGAACCGAGGCAGGCCGGCCTGGCAGGACGCCGGGTGGCTGCTTACAAGTGATCAGTTCCAGTGAAGTTTTTACTCAGCCACAAGCCTTTTCTTTCCCTTTCGAGGTCTGCAGGTGTGGCCAGAGCCCAGCCCTCAGCACTAGAGGTCCCTGGGCCTGGGCACTTACAAACCACAAGCAGCTTTCTGGGTGAGAAAAGGTGTTTGTACCCAAGGGACCAGGGTGAACCTCTCAAGCTCAGGCGGACAGCACACACCTTGAGATTTATGGCTTTGTTACTACCTGTGCAGCAACAGGAGAATTAAATCCAATTCCTCCTGGCCCCTTTCATCTCCCCTTTACTCCCAGTTCTGCCGGGCCAGGCTCTAGCAGTCAACCACCAAGAAATCAGCCCCAAACAGGGGGGAGCTTCCAGCAAACCGCTGTTCTGTGTGGCACAACAGCTGCTGACAGTGACTCACCAGCTCCTGCAGGAAGCAGGAGAAATCCCCATCGTACTGGGAAAGCTGGGACAGGAACAGCCAAGTCCAGGGCTGACGAAGCTCTTTCACAGCCGCCGCCTCCTCCCCCCAAACTCCAGAGGTGTCCCCATGCCTTTACCCAGGTCTGAGGCAGGACAAACTTCCAAAGCTTTCCAGGCCTTTCCTCTGCAGACACACGTTGATATCCCAAATCCACATGCAACAGTCAAAGGGAGGCAATCGAGAAAATTAAGTTTAGTTTCAATATACAGGACTTCCAACAGGCAGTAAAAAAAAAAAAAAGCTTTATATTTTATTTCTTGTAAAAATCTTTCAACACATGCAGACTAAAACCAGTGTAAGAAAGTATCCACCATCGTTTAAACAAATAACTATACTTAAATATAAGTGTCTGCAATTGACTTGTATAAAAATAAGGTACATTTTGCCTTTTTACAGAAATCCGTTCTCCAGTTCTCATATCCATAAACAATACACAACTCTAATACATACAATTTCACCTGATCACTGCTTTCCGCCCATGTGATACTGCTAAGGTATTATGTGCAAAAGTTGGTAACAGTTTCTTCCCCCAAAAGAAAAAAAAAAAAAAAGTCCTCTACACCTTTTCGAAAAATTAGATATTGGGTTTAAATTAATCCAAATCCTAAACCGGTTTATTTGTTCTCCAATCAAGAGTCCACTGACTGGGTTATGTACAGGCTGAAGTGGAGCGTGGGGCGGCTCAGCGTCGGTGCCTGCCGTGCCCCGAGCGGCCGCTGCCGTGGTGTTTGCCTTTGTGGGATCTCTCGAAGGAGCGGGACCGCTCCCTCCTGTCCCTGTGGTGCCCCCGCTCGTGCCTGTGCTTCTTGGCGGCGTCAGAGTGCTCCCTGGATTTGCTCTGCGAACGCGAACGGGATTTTTTCCGTTTGTGGCCGTGTCTGTTGGCGCCCTTCAGCTCCTCCCGGCTGTGCTTGGCCTTGAGGTGGGGCGAGCCGTGGTTGTGGTGCCGGCGGGGGCTGCCGCTGTGGCTGCGGGACCGGCTCCTCGAGCGGGAGCTGTACGTCCCAGACAGGCTCCGCCTGTTGTTGTAGCTTACAGAGAAATGGTAAATTAACACCCATCTTCCACACAGAATTAAGAAAATAAATCAATTCCTAGGAACTTGCAAGTTACTGCAAGGAATCAAGAGACTGTTTCTCCCTGATGCATGAGAGTGAGCGCCCCAGAACACACCTCTGAGATCAGCTCCTCTGGAAACAAGAAGCCCAACCCACAACCCAGTGCCTTTCAGAATGGTTCAGTCCTACTACTTCAAAGTGAAAACACCCTGCTGCAATATCCCACAAGGTCAGTTTTGACAAAAAAAAAAAAAAAAAAAAAAG